GTGGCTGCAGTACAGGCATTTAACCACTGCACCACCAGGGCTCTTGCAGGGGATGAAGCAGCACACATGCTGGAGGAATGGAGCAGTGTGGACATGTGCACAGGTGACAACACAGCATGCACATAGATGTGGTGCATGCATACAGGGTGGAGCATGGGGTGGTATGGGGGGGCCGCATCCCCACATCCTCTCAGTGATGCCACTGTCTCTGTAATTTATATGGAGAACATATCATATGGGAAGCTGGATTAGACTTGCATAAAGGAAGTGTGAACATTGGAGAAAATAACATCAACAATTTAAGATATGCAGATGACCACATGCGTTGTTGTTGTGTGCCTTCACTTCATTTCTAACTTATAGTGACCTTAAGGTCACAGGATTTTCTTGGCAAAATTTGCCTTTGCCTTTCTCTGAAGCTGAATGTGTGTGATTTGCCCAAGGTCACTGAGTGGGTTTCCATGGCTGTGCAGAGATTTGAGCCATGGTCTCCAGAGTTGTAGTCAAACATGCTCAAACCACTACACCACGCTGCTTCTCAGACCCAATACTAATAGCAGAAAATAGCAAAGACTTGGAGGAAGTGTTGTGAAAAGTCCAGGAAGAAAGTGCAAAAGCAGGGTTAGAGCTGCACATCGAGAAAACAAAAATACTGATCACATATTTTTTATATAACTTTAAAGTGGATGATGATGAAGTCATAAAAATAGTCAAAGATCTTTTATACCTTGGCTCAGTCATAAATCAAAATGGAGACCCTAGTTAAGAAATCGAAGAAGAGTAAGACTTGTAAGGACAAGCAATGAAAAACTAAATTAAGATTTTCAAGTGTAAAGACATATAAAAGGTAAAGGTAAAGGTATTCCCGTTGACAAGGTTGTCAAGCCATATTCAACCTCATACCAAACCAAAGAGCCAGCGTTGTCAGAGACTACTCTGTGGTCATACGGGCAGCATGATTGCACAGAACATTGTTTACCTTCCCACCGAAGTGGTACTTATTTATCTACTTGCATTTGCATGCTTTCAAACTGCTAGGTTGGCAGAAGCTGGGACTAGTGATGGGAGCTCACCCCATCATGCAGCATCTGGGCCTCGAACTGCCAACCTGCCGATCTTGCAATCAACAAAGTCCACTTAACCACTTGAGAAACTGAATACCAAAATCAAGATCATCCATTCCATGGTATTTCAGGCTTCTATTTATAGTTGTGAAAGCCCAACACCTAATGAAATTGACAAGAAGAAAATAAATTCATGTAGAATGTGGTGCTGGATAAGAGTCCTAAAGATACCATGGACAGCTAAAAAGTCAAATAAATGGGTCCTACAGCAAATGGCTTGGAAGCCAAGATGACTAAACTGGGGTTTTCACACTTTGGACACATCATCAGATGATGCGATTCACTGGAAAAGTTGATAATGCTTTGTAATGCAGAAGTCATCATGAAAAGAAGAAAAGCACTTTACATGTGGATTGACTGAAGCAAGGAAGCCATGATCCTGAGTTTGCAAGAGTTGAGCAGGGCTGCTAAGGACTGGGTTTCTTAGAGGCCTTTCATTCATAGGGATACCATAAGTAGAAGCCAACGTGACGGCAGAGAAGAACAAAAATACTAGAGTAGCATTTATATTACTACCATTCATTCTATAAACCAGGTGCTGGTGAAGTGTGGCCCTCCAGATGTTGTTGGACTCAGAAGGCCTTAATGAATTCTCCAGCAGCCAATACGGTATGTTTAGGACCAAGGTGTAAATTATTTTTTTAGTTTAACAATTTAAGCCAACAATTACATGCACATTTACTTGTGAATATGTCCAACTGAAAGCTGCAGTAATTAGTCCCAAGTAAACATACATAAGTTAAGGGTATAATGTCATGATTTTACCTGAGGGCAATTTAACCAGATAGCAATTTTATCTTGGAAAAATAATATGTTAAATTAGAATGACAGCAATAATTCATAGAAAGAAGCCAAGGAAAGGGGGATGCATACAATAGCAAGTAGACACTGTAGCCAAATAATTACAGTTAAGCCCCGTTATAGCCATTTACAGTGCAAGCCCTTAACTATTCAGAAGTAAATCCCACTGAGATCAATCATGATTATTCCAAGGAAAGTGGCTCTGAGACTGCAAGCTGAGAGAAACAAGAACTGATTTGGTTTGGAACAGGCTCAGGGTGAGAAAATAATTGTGGGGAAATCAGTTCATAGAGGGAAAGAAAAAGCAAGGGGGGAACCATAACAAGAGGCATCTAGGGAGTGGTGAAACATAAAAATTAAAAGGGAGAAAGAGAAAGATGAACTAGAGAGGTGACATATTATTCCATTTGAATTATGCAATCTGGAAGGAAGTGAGGAAATACTGCAAGTGAACTGAATGGGACTAGCACAAAAGCATTCAGTAGGAAAAGCAAGCAGGCAAGGCAGGCTTCAGAAGGAAGGGAGAAAACCTGATGGGTTAAAGCAGGGGTAGGCAACCTAAGGCCGGGGGGGCCGGATGCGGCCCCCCGAGGCCTTTGGACCGGCCCCAGGCTGGTCCTGCCGCCGCCGCCACCGCCCGCCATGATGATATTGATTATTGTTGTTATTACTTGTTCTTGGGGTTTTCTTGGCAAAATCTCCACAGGGGTTTTGCCATGGCTTTTCTGAGGCTGAGAGAGTGTGCATGCATATTTTTTAAATTTTTTAATTGTTTTTAATTTTTAATTTTAATATTTATTTATTTATTTATTTTTGGTGCTTCAGCCCCCCCAATTGTCTGAGGGACAGCAACCCGGCCCCCGGCTCAAAAAGGTTGCCTACCCCTGGGTTAAAGGGAGTGCAAGTGGCACAGAAAATGTCACATCTGATCTCACAGACCCACCCTTACACCTATGCTCCAAATCTTTAAAGTGCTTACCAAAAACCAGACATGTTTTAAACATGCAGACATGCCAGACTTGTTTTAAACATGCAAGTTTTAGGACACTATGACTACATCCGCACTGCTGAAATAATCCAGTTTGGCACTGCTTTAACTGCCATTGCTCAATAGTATGGAATTCTGTGAATTGTAGTTTTGTGAGATATTTAGCCTTCTCTGTCAGCGTGCTGTGGTGACACAACAAACTACAATTCCCAGAATCCCACAGTACTGAGCTATGGCAATTAAAGTGGTGTAAAACCAGATTATTTTTGCAGTGCAGATGCAGCTTTGTTTACAGAACATTTAGTGCCACATACCCTACCTTGTCATCCTTGTGGTCAAATTTCAATTTGTATTTGGAAAACCTTTCCCTGTTTTTTTCTCAAATGGATTAAAAAATAGGTTTTAATGGGGCAAATAATTTATTGTAGGCTGTTAAAAATTTGAAATATTTAATGTTCTTTTGCTCATGCTCAATATAGTGTCTCCTGTCTCCAACCACATTGTTTTGGTGCCAACCATTAGTATGCCAGCTATAAATTGTCACCAAGATGATATCTACAAATTCAAATTCTCCGTTTTTGCCAAATTAATCAGGATATCTCTTGGTTTATCTGAACACACAAAGGCTACGAGAAAGTTTTATCACTGTTATTACTAAACACTCTTGGATAACTATGGCAAAGGGATGAAGTACAGCTTCCAAACAACACGCCCAAACTGGGCACAACAACTCTTAAATTCCGTCCTGAGGCAGCTGTTCAAAGCTTGTGTTTTCTGTTAAAAGAGTGATTAGTAAGTCAGCATCTGTTGAACCCCTTGGCCAGAGACAGGTCTTTCCTACATTTAGCCACTGGGCCTTGGCAATGTATATACAGTGTTAAGCAGTGTGGGACCTAATACTCTGTTAAGAAGCTAGGGAATACTGAACCCAGAATTATAAAATGTAACAAAGCCCTAAGCAACAGAGACTGAAGCTCACTAAAATTCCTCAGAAACACGGCCTGTGTGCAGCTGCAATTTTCACATAAAGTGATCCAGTGAGGCATGAAAACTAGGAAGGAAAGTTCCCACATTTTCCACCTCCACTATCACCACTGGAGGGAAGAAAACAGAAGAAAATGTCTCTGCAATTAAAGATTGGAAAGCAACTGGCTGGACCAAGAAGAGCCCAGCAAATCCCTCACCCTGGCAGGCTGCCCGCAGAAAAACCTGCAGGTGGCAAGACTGATGGAAGCCTGTGTCCAAAGACCCAAAAGATGCTGCATTGAAACCCCATCACCTAGTTATCAAGCTTCATTTCATGATGACTAAGGTGTGTAACCGACATGCAAGAGTGGGGAAATGGAAAATAAATCATTTGCAGTGAATTGTTCTCCGTCACTTAAGGAGTCAGCTTTACTGTGCAATAAAAAAATAGTCCCAGATAATCAAAACTGGGAGTTTAAATATATTTAAATAGTTTTCTATGAGGGAGAGACACAGAAACAGAGAAAGTACACTGCACTGGAAAAGGAAGGACAATTAGAACATCTGTTGGCCTTGATCTTACCGAAAGCAAGGGGATCAACTGTTGTCACTCAAACTCCTTTTGAACACTTGTAAATTGCCTTTCCTCTTCGCCCTAATCTTTTCTAGGCTAAACAATCATGTGTTAAGATTTGCAACTCTGGGTATTTCATATTCTGGAAATGGAAAAAAGAAAGTCATACTTGCTGCCCTCGGTTCTAGCAGCACTGATTTAACTCAAAGTTATAGGAAAGATTAATGTTCAAAAGTGTATGTATGGAAGTAAATCTGTTAAAGCTACAAATTCAGAAGGCTAAAGAAGCAAAGTGAACAGGGTAAACAAAAATAGGTGGCTAGTTGTAGGTTATATTGGCCACCTTTATGTTACTTTAGATAAAGGAGCAAGCATCAATACAGTACAGTATTGAAAACTGCATGTTTGTTTGTGGAAGATAGCATTAAGCATATTTTCTCCCTCCAAAATAACCTAGATTACAATGAAATATACATGTAAAACCTACGGCTACATTGTCTAAAAAACTGAAGTTATGGCATCTGTCAAATAATTTGGTTTTGATCCAGAAACACAGAGAGTGTACTTCTATTCACTTGAAGAGAAGAAAGGAACAGTGGGTTTAAAAATTTTTAAAAAAATGTTGTTGTGTGCCTTAAAGTCGTTTTCAACTTATAGTGACCCTAAGGGGTTTTCTTGGCAACATTTATTTAGAGGGGGTTTGCCTTTGCCACCTCTGAGGCTGAGAGTGCGTGTCTTGCCCAAGGTCACCCAGTGATCTTCCATGGCCAAGTGGCAATTCAAATCCTGGTCTCAAGAGTCTTAGACCAATGCTTAAACCACTATAACATGCTGGCTCTCTGTGTCCCAAAATTGTCCCTTCCCATTACAGATCTCTGTGCCCGCAATCTGCTCCAGAGAGTTAGAGGATCCCCAAGGACAGACTGGGAAGTGTAAGTGTAAGAAACTGCCTGCCCCATTTTTCCTGCCTTCACTGGACCAAATATCTTCCCGTCAAGTTCCCTTAGCAGAAAAGCAACTTTGGATCTAAGTTAAAAGCTTTTTATATACAAAACGAAGGATGCAAAATATTTAGCCTTTGAA